AAACCTCTCCAACGCATCATCAGTGATCTACAACCCATCCTGGACAATGATCCCTCACTTTCACAGACCTTGGGAGGCAGGCCAGTCCTCGCCCACAGACAACCCGCCAACCTTAAGCATATTCTCACCAGCAACCACGCACCGCACCATAACAACTCTAACTCAGGAACCAACCCATGCAACAAACCTCGATGCCAACTCTGCCCACATATCTACACCAGCAACACCATCACAGGACCTAACCAGATCAGCTACAACATCACCGGCTCATTCACCTGCACGTCCACCAATGTTATATATGCCATCATGTGCCAGCAATGCCCCTCTGCTATGTACATTGGCCAAACTGGACAGTCACTACGCAAGAGGATAAATGGACACAAGTCAGATATCAGGAATGGCAATATACAAAAACCTGTAGGAGAACACTTCAACCTCCCTGGCCACACAATAGCAGATGTAAAGGTAGCCATCTTACAGCAAAAAAACTTCAGGACCAGACTCCAAAGAGAAACTGCTGAGCTCCAGTTCATTTGCAAATTTGACACCATCAGATCAGGATTAAACAAAGACTGTGAATGGCTATCCAACTACAGAAGCAGTTTCTCCTCCCTTGGTGTTCACACCTCTACTGCTAGCAGAGCACCTCACCCTCCCTGATTGAACTAACCTCGTTATCTCCACACTGATTTATACCTGCCTCTGGAGATTTCCATTACTTGCATCTGAAGAAGTGAGGTTCTTACCCACGAAAGCTTATGCTCCCAATACTTCTGTTAGTCTTAAAGGTGCCACAGGACCCTCTGTCATTTATTCATATACATAATATTTAAAACTAAATTGCATCCACAGTAGTAAAAACTTGATTTCACACACTAACCCAGTGGGCCAAGATTTTCTAAAGTGCTGACTTCTCTGGCATCTGCTAGATGCGTAGCACTTTAGAAAATCAGGCTACCTATTTAGGTAGCACCTAATAATTATGATGTATTTTATTACCATAACACCTAGGAACCTTAGCCATGAACCACATTGCCCTTGTGCAGTAAGGACTTAGGATCCTACCTTTAGGCACCTGTTTTTTTAAAAGCTTTGCCATAGCCACTTATTTAAAATTACACCTTTGTTCTATTTAATATATAAAAAATTCAAACACCTCTACATGTCGATGGATACTTCCTTTTTTCAAAACACATACTAGAAATGTTCATAGCATGGAAAACACCATCTAAAGAATTCTTACACCAGTTTTCTAACAGAGATAAAAATACCGAACTTGGTTCTTTTCCTTTTATTAGTCTGTCAAAGAAACATTACCCCTTTCAAGTGTCAAATATGATGAAGTCTAAACAGGGAAACACCATCTTGAGAGTTTTGTTTGAGACACAGGAAATGAAGATGAAGCTTCTGAAGTCATGAGAAACAAACTTCATACTAACTGTAGATTCCGCTGTTTCTATAAATCTTTTGGGCCAATTTAACAGTAACTAAGCCTGTGTTTTATGGCAAAGTACAACTTTTAAAAGTAAACATTTGTTGTCTCGGTTAAATAAAATGGGAAAGCACTTATGAGCTAGTCCCATAATTCAAAATTTTGAAAACAATTTTTTGCCATTTTGTTCACTACAATTCACTACTGTCCGGTCATAAATCCTGCTTAGAACATTTATCTCAGCAAAGAGGCTGTAATCTGTAAGGTTTCATCACTAACAATGCTTGATTGGCGCAGTAACTGAGGAAAAACCACCCAACCAATCAAAATTTCATGTAACTTTTTATTAAAATAGTATTTATAACTGATACATGTTGGCAGATGTAATTTTTTTTTTTTAAACTGTAGTGGAGGGGCCCCAGGCATTAGAATGTGTCTGTCCCCTAGCAGAATGCAGACAGCATATAATAAATCATAGATAAAAATCTTTGCCTGAGGCAGATGATCCTGGATGTTAGCCCGTTTGAGTTCCATATGTCACACTCCATATGTCACACTCCAAAGGGGGTTTAAAAAGTTTGATAAAAATGTTCAGACCTTAAGATGACATCAAATGTCTCTTCATATAGTTTTATTCTTCTAGAGTAACTATAAAAATTCACAACATTCACATATTTGCTATAGAATAAAGGCTCATGAGCTGGTCTGAATGTATCCTTAAAGCTCTTGGCAGTTCTTCAGAAAGGAAAAGTTACAGGGGGAAAAAATGAAAAACCAACACTTTTTAAATCAAAGAACTTTGTTTAGGGTAATTTTTATTAGAAAAAAATTGGATTGCGGTCAGGTGATGTTTTCAGCCTCTGAAGGGGAAAGGCACACTCTGCATCACTTTGGAGCTTTCTTAGTGGTAACTATAACTTTGTAGGAAATTATCATCTTTAAGCATGGAGAGACACGACTTGTCAGGAAAAAAGAAAATTGAGATCTGGAGAGCAAGCATATGATGATGATATTCCAATCACACTTGAACCAGCTTCCCTAGTCACTGCCTTTGAGTTGGAGGCTATCTTACCAAATGGGTAAGAGGAGAGGCCACATTCTTGATTGCCTGGAGCCCATAAGGGGCAACAATAAATTCCCTCAGGTCCACCCGCATTAACTGTCATCAATCAGAATGCTTTGTATCTAGCTTACTGGTTGGTAAGAACTCCTGCATTCTGGTTGGTATTTGATCTAGTGGTATATAATATTTTTTTTAAACTGCATGAATAGTTTGTCTTATTAAAGAATACTTTAAAATTGCCACATTCCAAAATTATGAGTTAACTTACCATGTACAACAAACCAAACAAAAGCAATAATTATGGAATTACAGGGTCACATTTTAATTCCTGAATGTTACAGTTCAGCATTTATATCACCACATGTATACAAATGGTGTAAAACAAGTACAGTGGTATTTTAATACAAAATAAACTTCTGTTTTATGGAAAAAACTATACTTCATATCTACACAGACAGTCCATATTTTCCAAACAATAGCTAAAATTAAAATTAACTACAAAATCTCCAAAACAGGTAAACCTGTTTCAGTTTAAACTATTCCAGGAGAAATGGACCCATAACACATATTACAAGAGTGATCTATGTGGTGGTTTGCAGCTGGTTTCATAGTTTAACATCTCTGACACATTAATTGTAGTTTGGTGGGTTTTTTTCCCTCACTTCAGCATGATCTCAGATCATATAGGGGCAACTAACATTAAAATATTTACAGTTCACTTGCTGCTCTTTGAAAATAAAACCTCTTAAACTGTTTACCTCCATCAATTTACCTGGTTTTTTTTTTTTTTTTTTTTTTTTTTTTTTTTTACATACATGGAATGTGCTTTTACTCTTTAAAAAGCAGCTTTCATATTACACCTGGGTTCAGATGCTGCATGTTGATTCTGCCTCAAACATAGACTGATATATTGTTAGTAATAATTCCATCTTGGTCCAAAATGGCTTCTGGGTGTTAAATGCCACTTTTCAAAACCTTTGTTAGTGTTTCTTATAACCACCTCAATTACACAATTTAAACCTACAAATGCAAAAACGCACCTGCTGCTCAAGGAAGAGAGCTTCACTAATAAAGCAGAAAGTGACTCAATTCAGTATCTTCTATCACCTGAAAAACTGCTAGCTGTACTTAGTGTGCAGTTTAAAGTACTAGTTTATTGATGCTAGCAGTTTCTGGAGATCTTTTTGGAAGCTACCAATCCTTGGCATAGATATTGCTGGATATCCAGTTTAAAAAACAATCAAATTAACTGACCTGTCCATTATCCAGCTTGCTTTTTTTTCTCTCCTCTTCAAAATGTGAGTTGAAAAGTTCATGTTTTTTACAACTCAACATGCACTGTTATTCCAGAAGCTCCACACTCCATTTGTCAGACATTTTATTAAATTTGCATCTAATGGTCCCAAAATATGAATTTATTTTTATGGAAATAATTCTATTTTCCCTTCATTTTTTTTAAAAAAAGAGGCAATTGCTAAAAGAACAAAATGGACAGCACCATTACCAAATTAAGATTACTGGGTTTACAACTGAAGCTTTACATTTTTTTTCTAGGTCTGTTACACACTGGAGAAACCCTGCAATATTAAAAATTGTTAACCACACCTTCCTCCCTCCCAGTACCCTCCCCAAACCTGAGACTTTCCTTACTGAGAAGCTGTCATCCAGGTTCTGATTACTAATCCTCCCCCCACCCCTCCCAACTGAATGGCAGACTCCTTATTTTACTAGAAAGAGATTAAGTTCCTTGGAAGCCTGATGTTTGCAGAACTAAACCTTTCTCACTGATATACTGAGTTTCTTTTGCTACTCCTTGTATTATCTTATATATTCAAGGGAGAAAGCTTTCTGATTCAGACTCTCTTTAGCTCTTCGATCAGTTGCAGCATTTAAGACCTCACAATATAAATTTATTTCAATGTTTTTATGAACCAAGACGAGGTCTTTTCCTTGGGGATGTCTCCTC